CCCACCACTGATACCATTGAGAGGGTGCACCATTCTTTCCACTGACAACCAATAATAGGGAATAACTATTCTTCCAACAACCAATGATGGGCACTAATCCTCCCACTGACACCAATGATACTTACCTTGCTGACCCCCTGCTCCAGCCTGGGCTTGCTCCCTCCCTCTCCCATCTACAGCCAGCATAGCTGGCTGCAGCAGCACCAATCTGTAGCGGTACAGACACTATTACCGTCAGCTTTCTTCCTTCCCTCTGGCCGCTCTTCTCCTTCACTCGCGTCCGGCAAGCTCCCTCCCTCACGGATCGATCTTCTTTGATCTTGCGCACCTCCCCGCTCTCGGGCTCCTCCTCTCCATAGCTCCACCCTCCTCACCGGTGATTGGCTACCTAGTGACGTGCCTCTCCTGAGCTACAGTTCCAGCGGCCAATCGACCGGCGAGGACAGAGAAGCGGACAGCTGTTGACGTGATCCCGGGGGTAGGTGGCCAGGATAAACAGGGGGCAGAGCATGTGCATCCTGCCCACACATCACCTGGAGACAGATAGAGGAGCGGTGTCTCGGTTCGCTAAGACCATCGGAAATGTGTGTTTGCGATGGTGCTTAGGGCGCATCCCCAGTGAAATGGTCTGTTCGACCCCCAAAAGGGTCCGTGCGACCCCACAGGTTGAGAGTCGCTGTTTTCTAGAGTATTGAGAGCTGTAGATGGATGGTCATAGTTTATCCTTATGGAAGATGGTTTGTATGCACTTCGTGTTTACACAACTTCAATGCAGAAAGGGTATCTATACATGAAACAAAGTAGTTCTCATTAGCGCATTTCATTTTTATAGGTTTTTCCCTACCTGCTGGGCACATAAACGAATCATCCTGCGCACTCTCCTCTTTGATGCTGGGGGCTGTCCGCAGGGAGGGGTGAGGTGGATGTGGTATTAGTAAGGTGGTCAACCTCCGCGTCCCCTGAAATCCAAAAGATGGTTGGCCAGAAGATCCAGTCTCTGGGGCAAGCGGTTTCTTTGTTGCCGGAGTGCATGGGCCAGTAGGTCCCTGAAGGAACCCATCATGCATCTCATCCTGCAATGCCATAGACCCAGTATCCCGTGTATCACATGCTTTCCTGGGTGGTGTCAGGAGGTCTCTGAAGATTTTTGGAGATGTGGTCAACTTCAGAGGGGCATAGAAAGTCAGGAGCCCCCTCTTCAGTGAGGAAACGCTCATAGCCTGCAGGACCCTCTTCAGTCAGGACATCAATGGCGATACGATAATACTCCTTGTAGTGTGGGGGGAGGTAGTTGGGGTCCAAAGGGTTGTCTCCTTGGGAGGAGCTCTGGGAGCGTCGTGCCATGGCTCTACACCAGAGGGAGGGGAGAGACGGGACCTGGAGAAAGATACAAAACACAGATTATTAACCTAGCACTAGAAAATACCTACAACACACCAAATACAAATGTACTAAAATTCCCAGTGAGTGATTGAATGGATGGAGGCATCTAGTACACTTTTGGCTCCTGAGAAACTACTATACCCAATATACCCAGCCAGTCAACAAGGAGCCAGAAATGAAAAAAAGCTGGCAAACGCTTCAACAGTTTCTGTAAATGAAATGATCCAAAGTGTTGGTAGTATTCTATCTTGAGATGCCCGGTTGAAAATGAAGGAACAGTAGTTGAACTAGCCCAAACCACTAGCCCAAACCTAGCCATGAGAGTGGTCAACACAAGCAGTCTGATCCCATACTATGCTACTGTAAGACAGAAGTCCATGTAGTTTCTCAAACTTTGGTTCTCTTAGAGGTCAGATGCCATTTTGAGTCAAACTTTCTCCACACATGACTTTTTTTCAGCGGTTTATAGATTTTGGTTAGGTGACCCCCTAGGGAGATGTTTCTTCTCCTCAAGCAAGGTTGATCTATCCAGTTAGTACCTTAGATCCCACAGCAAGAATCAAGATGGAGATTATGTGACACTATTTTGTATGTACAATACACTACAAAAGCATTTCATAGAGTTCCAGCATGTCTTGTCTTGAGTTACTGTACCCCTTTAAACAGGGCTTTTTTTTCAGCAGGAACATTAGGGAACACAGTTTCTGGTACCTCCAGCACTAAATGTATGCAATGGCAAGGGATGCAGGGGTGTCCTGGAGGGTCTATTGATGTTGAGGATCTACTTTTAATCTATTGTTGATGGTCTTTTTGCCAGGAGGGATCTACTATTGAGGTAGGGGTCTAATGTTGATGGCTGCTGGGAGATGCATGGTCTCTGATGGGGTCCCCCTTGTTGCTGGGGTGGTTCGGGAGTTATTGTTGCTGGAGGCATCTAATGTTGCTGGAAGGGGTCCATTGTTGCTGGCTTCAGGGGATCATAACAAATTACATAGAAATTACTTCGCAAAATGAAATGTTGCTTGGTTCTTTATTCTCTAAATGGAAAGATACTAGGAGATGGATAGTTGTGGAACCAAGGGGCGGTGCTTGAAGATTGATAGGGAAGCAGAGACAAGGGGTGACTCAGAAGGGGTAGTACCTGAACCTATTCTCAGAGGAAAAAAAAGCCCTGCTCTTTAATATGAAAAATGTTTTAGTCCTACCTGAATAGTTTTTTGCCTTCAATACCCTATTCATCCCCAACCCACTACTGCTTCACCCCCAAGGACAGGCCTATTATTTGGGTGTACTTCGAAGAAAGCGAACCACAAAACGTTCAAACCAAAAGGCAGCTCTGTTTCTATTGAAAGAATTCTGATTGATGCTTTGAGTTATGGTGCCCATAGCCATAGGGGATTGTCTCAGAGTGGGTGATCATCCAATGATTGCGAAGAACAACCCCATGCTGCTCTTGAGGAACAAAACAATTGGAAAATCTAGCCAAGCTTATATCAACTGCTGTACCTGGTGCTGTCGCTATGTGGCTCCCCTGCTGCCTCCACTGTCCTACAAATGGGGCCCCATGCTTGACTACAATACTTCTCCCAATCGGGGAGAACTAGCCCAAGGAGATAGCACTTGTCTTGGCTCTCCAGGTCTATGGCAATGTTCTCTGCTCTAAATATAGTACGATGCAATGGGGCCCCATGCTTGACTACAATACTTCTCTATAGGGGAGAACCAGCCCAAGGAGATACCACTTTTCTTGGCTCTCCAGGTCTATGGCAATGTTCTCTGCTCTAAATATAGAACGATGCAATGGGGCCCCATGCTTGACTACAATACTTCTATCTCCTTGGGCTGGTTCTCCCCTATAGAGAAGTATTGTAGTCAAGCATGGGGCCCCATTGCATCGTTCTATATTTAGAGCAGAGAACATTGCCATAGACCTGGAGAGCCAAGACAAGTGCTATCTCTTTGGGCTGGTTCTCCCCTATAGAGAAGTATTGTAGTCAAGCATGGGGCCCCATTGCATCGTTCTATATTTAGAGCAGAGAACATTGCCATAGACCTGGAGAGCCAAGACAAATGCTATCTCTTTGGGCTGGTTCTCCCCTATAGAGAAGTATTGTAGTCAAGCATGGGGCCCCATTGCATCGTACTATATTTAGAGCAGAGAACATTGCCATAGACCTGGAGAGCCAAGACAAGTGCTATCTCCTTTGGACTGGTTCTCCCCCCCGATTGGGAGAAGTATTGTTGTCAAGCATGGGGCCCCATTGCATCATACTATATTTAGAGCAGAGAACATTGCCATAGACCTGGAGAGCCAAGACAAATGCTATCTCCTTGGGCTGGTTCTCCCCTATAGAGCACTTGTCTTGGCTCTCCAGGTCTATGGCAATGTTCTCTGCTCTAAATATAGTACGATGCAAATGGGGCCCCATGCTTGACAACAATACTTCTCCCAATCGGGGAGAACCAGTCCAAGGAGATAGCACTTGTCTTGGCTCTCCAGGTCTATGGCAATGTTCTCTGCTCTAAATATAGTACCGATGCTCCTTGGGCTGCCTATTTAACAAACGTTGACGACGGTTTATTTGGACCATGCCAATATTCCTGAAATCTCAGCAATTTAGAGAGAGTCTGCGGGAGGTGACGGGTTCGGCTGTAATAAAATATTTACTTAGGATTGGAGAAGAATTGTTACAGTTTGTCCTAATTGCTGCTCTGCTGAATAAACAATATTTAATATTATGCAAGCGCCTCAGAGAAGAATTGGAACATTCCTCTGGCTTGTAATATGTATCTGGATCAATTCATGGCGTCCACACCCTGACCCCTAACACAGTTTGCATCAGCAACCAGAAATCCCACCCCATGGAATGGTCAGCACTTCTTGAAGAGTAAAAAGAACATGGTATCATCCTCATCACTACAGGCTGGAACATCATCATTTCCCACCTCTGTTCCTCCAATATCAAACACCCACCTGCAGTGGTTGTAGGTCATACCGAGACCTGACATGGGTCATACGTCATGGACCAAAGGAATTTAGTCCATTTATAAAGTAAAATTTCTCAGTGGTGAGTGAAGGAGAGCCAAAATGAGTTCAGGGCACACCTTTATTTTCATTTGGTGAACCTAAAAATAACACTTCCTGTTCTAGGGTGACAACACTCACTCACTGCACTGTTATCTATAGAACGTAGTCATCCTACGACAAGAGTACACAGAACACCTCCCCTCTCCATAACATAGGGAAGGTGGTCTGTAACTCACCAAAACACCTGAGGTAGGGCTGGTAACATGGTTTGAGATTTTGGTGACGGCTTTTTGGCAGGATCAATGGCTTCATTTTCTTTTGAACAGACATAACAAAACACTTTTAATGGTATATTTAAAAGACCAAATTGAAGCAAATGAGAAATTTATTGTTTGCGTTTGCATAAACGTTACGAGCACCATTTTGTCATTGGTATATGTTCTAATTCAACCGCATTTGGACATATTGGCCTTGGCGGAGGTCAATTATACAATGCCTTGAAAAAGTCTTCATACCCCTTGAAATTTTCCACATTTTGTCATGTTACAACCAAAAATGTAAATGTATTTTATTGGGATTTTATGTGATAGACCAACACTGGCCCTGGCAGCCACCCCTCTCTGCCAATCCCTCCACTGGCCTCAGCTCGTCCTCCACCGTCCCATCCACCCCTCTCTGCCAATCCCTCCACTGGCTTCCACTCAGTGTCCTCCATCCCTCTCTGCCAATCCCTCCACTGGCCCCCACTCAGTGTCCTCCACCCCTCTCTGCCAATCCCTGCACTGGCCTCCACCCCTCTCTGCCAATCCCTCCACTGCCCTCCACTCAGTGTCCTCCATCCCTCTCTGCCAATCCCTCTACTGGCCCCCACCCCTCTTTGCCAATCCCTCCACTGGCCTCCACCCAGTGTCCTCCACCCCTCTCTGCCAATCCCTCCACTGGCTTCCCATTGCCCAACGGATAAAATTCAAAACATTAACAATAACATATAAAGCCATTTATAACTCTGCCCCCAATTACATCACTGTTCTGGTCTCCAAATATCACCCAAACCGTACTCTCCGCTCCTCGCAAGACCTCCTACTCTCTAGCTCCCTTGTCTCCTCCTCCTATGCTTCTCTCCAGGACTTCTCCAGAGCTTCCCCTATCCTCTGGAACTCTCTACCCCAATTTATCAGACTATCGCCTACTCTGCTCACTTTTAGGCGTTCTCTGAAAACCTCTCTCTCTTCAGGGAACCCTATCCTGCCCTCAGCTAATAATGGAATCCTCTACTTCTCCTACCAGTCCATCCCCCACAGTTACTACCTTTTGTACCACTAGCCCCTCCCTCTTAGATTGTAAGCTCCAAGGATCAGGGCCCTCCTATCCCTCTTGTATTGAACTGTATTGTTGCCGTATTGTCTCCCATTATACTGTAAAGCGCTGAACAAAGTTGGCGATATATAAATCCTGTAAATAATAATAATATGTAATAAGGCGAAGAATAATGTATATAAATCCTGTATAATAATAATAACAACACAAAGTGGCACATAATTGTGGAATGGGAGGAAAACGATAAATGGTTTTCAAAATTTTTTGGTTCTGGATACTAATGTTTTTTGGCCAAATTAAAAATTTAAATACTACTTTTTTTGTTTTAAAAAAAAAAAAAAAAGTATATCTTTATGACATTGAATCGCTCCTTTTCAGATGGCAGCCATGATGCCCGAAGGACAGAGGCATGCTGGGACGGAGTGCGAAGATCACAGACCTGTCTGGCAAGTGATCGAGCCCCAATTTCAGGTGTACGGATCCGGCGGGGTGTGGACGCCATTTACAAGCAGTTCATTTATGAATGGAATTTAAGAACACATTGCAGGCTGCATTCTGACACACGGCTTATATAAATACCGACACGGCCGCGCCCTGCACACTCACAGCAAACGCAGCAGAAAATGGACGCAGCGCAGCAGATTGTAGGACAGATTTCTGGCCCAGCACGAGTCCGGCTCAACAGTTCTGGTAGACGGCCAATAATCACTGGAGCAATCATCAATCTCCCAACCAACCCTCCCACCATAGTTCCCAGGACTCATCCCACACACCTCCTCACCTTACATTCACCTTGAAAGACTCTGCAAACTTGAGGGCCAACACACACTCCAGTCCACTGGGGTGTTGTGGAAATCAGCATTGGAATGGTGGGAACCCCCCATAATGGGCACAGCAGGTGTACAGAGCTGGGAACTCTGTACAGGGATGGTGGGAACCCTTCATAAATGAGCACAGCAGGTGTACATATTCGGGAACTCAGCATTGGGATGGTGGAAACCCCCCCATAATGAGCACAGCAGGTGTACAGACCTGGGAAACTCTGTACATGGATGGTGGGAACCCTTCATAATGCGCAAAACAGGTGTACAGACCCGGGAACTCTGTATAGGGATGGTGGGAACCCTTTATAATGAGCACAGCAGGTGTACAGACCCGGAACTCAGCACAAGGATGGTGAGAGCCTCTCATAATGGGCACAGCAGGTGTACAGACCTGGGAATTCAGCACAGGGATGGTGGGAGCCTCTCAAAATGGGTACAGCAGGTGCGCAGAGTCAGGAACTCAGCACAGAGATGGTGGGAACCCCTCAAAATGGGCACAGCGGGTGTACAGACCCGGGAACTCAGCACAGGGATGGTGGAAACCCCTCATAATACAAGCAACAGGTGTTTAGGTAGAGAGACTAAGTACGAGGCTAGTGAAAACTCCTCATAATGGTCACAAGTGGCGTTCATACCCAGGAACCCTCCATAATGGACATAGAAGATGTTCAGACTCAAACTACACCAGGGATGGTGGTAACCTCTCAGTAATAACTCCTTACTAATCAGTAGTAATCACTCGCAGTGAGCAGTATTCGCTTTCTGCCAGTTCAGGCTGTCAGTACACGGAGAGGACCGCAGGCCAGTCACTGTATTGCAAACACAACTCTGTACCGTACTGAACAATTGGTATTAAATTATATAACAATTGTTAACCCGACATTCTGATACATTTCATGTACACGGCTCAAAAAAAAATAAAGATACACTTTGTAATCAGAGTCTAGCATCAAGTCAATGACACTCCTGGGATATTGATTTGGTCAGGCAAGTAGCAGAGGGGGTGGTAATCAGTTTCAGCTGCTTTGGGGTTAATGAAATTAACAACAGGTGCACTAGATGGGCAACAATGAGACGACCCCCAAAACAGGAATGGTTTTACAGGTGGAGGTCAATGACATTTTTTTCCCTACTCATCTTTTCTGACTGTTTTTCACTAGTTTTGCGTTTGGCTAGGGCCAGTGTCACTACTGGTAGCATGAGGCCATACCTGGACCCTACAGAGGTTGCACAGGCAGTCCAACTCCTCCAGGATGGCACATCAATACGTGTCATTGCCAGAAGGTTTGCTGTGTCTCCCAGCACAGTCTCAAGAGCATGGAGGAGATTCCAGGAGACAGGCAGTTCCTCTAGGAGAGCTGGACAGGGCTGTAGAAGGTCCTTAACCCATCAGCAGGACTGGTATCTGCTCCTTTGTGCAAGGAGGAACAGGATGAGACCTGCCAGAGCCCTACAAAATGACCTCCAGCAGGCCACTGGTGTGAATGTCTCTGACCAAACAATCAGATATAGACTTCATGAGGGTGGCCTGAGGGCCCGATGTCCTCTAGTGGGCCCTGTGCTGACTGCCCGGCACCACAGAGCTCGATTGGCATTTGGCATTGAACCCCAGAATTGACAGGTCCACCACTGGCACCCTGTGCTTCTCACAGATGAGAGCAGGTTCACCCCGAGCACATGTGACAGACGTGAAAGGGTCTGGAGAAGCCATGGAGAATGTTCTGCTGCCTGTAACATCATTCAGCATGACCGTTGTGGTGGGGGGTCAGTGATGGTCTGGGGAGGCATATCCATGGAGGGACGCACAGACCTCTACAGGCTAGACAATGGCACCCTGACTGCCATTAGGTATTGGGATGAAATCCTTGGACCCTACGCTGGTGCAGTGGGTCCTGGGTTCCTCCTGGTGCAGTGGGTCCTGGGTTCCTCCTGGTTCGGTGGGTCCTGGGTTCCTCCTGGTGCGGTGGGTCCTGGGTTCCTCCTGGTGCGGTGGGTCCTGGGTTCCTCCTAATACAGTGGGTCCTGGGTTCCTCCTGGTGCAGTGGGTCCTGGGTTCCTCTTGGTGCAGTGGGTCCTGGGTTCCTCTTGGTGCAGTGGGTCCTGGGTTCCTCCTGGTGCAGTGGGTCCTGGGTTGCTCCTGGTGCAGTGGGTCCTGGGTTCCTCTTGGTGCAGTGGGTCCTGGGTTCCTCTTGGTGCAGTGGGTCCTGGGTTCCTCCTGGTGCAGTGGGTCCTGGGTTGCTCCTGGTGCAGTGGGTCCTGGGTTCCTCTTGGTGCAGTGGGTCCTGGGTTCCTCCTGGTGCAGTGGGTCCTGGGTTGCTCCTGGTGCAGTGGGTCCTGGGTTCCTCCTGGTGCAGACAATGCCCAGCCTCATGTGAGGAGAATATGCAGGCAGTTCCTGGAGGACCCTACGCTGGTGCAGTGGGTCCTGGGTTCCTCCTGGTGCAGTGGGTTCTGGGTTCCTTTTGGTGCACAATGCCCGGCCTCATGTGGTGAGAGTATGCAGGCAGTTCCTGGAGGATGAAGGAATTGATACCATTAAATGGCCCCCACGCTCGCCTGACCTAAATCCAATAGAACCCCTCTGGGATGTCATGTTTCGATCCATCCGACGCCGCCAGGTTGCACCTCAGTCTGTCCAGGAGCTCAGTGATGCCCTGGTCCAGATCTGGGAGGAAATCCCCCAGGACACCATCCGTGGTCTCATTAGGACCCTCCCCCGACGGTGTCAGGCATGCATACAAGCACGTGGGGGCTATACAAACTACTGAGGACCATTCTGAGTTGCTGCAATGACATTTCAGCAAAATGGACTCGCCTGCTGCATCATTTTTTCCATTAGATGAAAATGATCAACCTACAGAGGACTGAATCCAAAGACACCCCGAAAATCGAACAATGGGGCATCCTTGCGTTCCTAACACATTACCCCGTCCATATCAGTATAGATATCCAGAAGGAGATTTTTCTCCATTGACATCTGATGTGTTTTCAAAGAGTTCCTTTCATTTTTTTGAGCCGTGTATAAATCATTCCATAGATTGTCTAACAGAATCAATACAACTTTCACTGAAAAGAATTTGTTTTGAGTCACAAACATCACAAGTGTTAGCGGGAGAATTTGCTGGATGAAAACCTAGCTGAGATATTTCTCCTTTTAGTCGTTCGATGTAACATTGTGACAAATGGCCGCCTATAGCAAAGTGTTGGCCATTTGCAGCATTACTGCTCTGTGAAGACTGCATGGAATCTGGAATGAGGATGAGTAATCGGCTTCTAAGATGTAGAGAAGAGATACGATCGATGAAAGCTGCAGCATGTTGTATTTTGAAAAATAGGACATGGGAAGGGAAGGAATCCTGTAGATAATAGGTATTATTTGTATAATAAGTTTTATTTATATCTACTAATATGGGAGATAAATATTTATAAAGAGACACGTGGTGGAAGAGATTAAAGTGGACCTGACGTTAAAATTCACCTTTCAAAGGAAAAAAAAAAAACTGCTGGCTATCAAAATCTTTACTTTTTTAAATATTTGTTTCACTTTACTACCAATACCAGTCATGCTTCATAGGGTATTACTTGTCTAGCAATTATGTATGAATCATAAGGACCCCAAGTGATCAGTATGTAAAAAATGTTTTGGATTGGGGAGACACTTGAGCAGAATCTGTGGCCTCAAAACTGGGACAGCATTCTGGAATTGGTGTGTAGAAGCCTCCATCGCCATCTAAGAGCCTCAGCTGTGACAGGTACATTGCATCTGACATTTAGTGCCCGGTCATACTGGCTCAATTTCAGGTGCAATTTGGGAATTGAAAAATCGCACCTGAAATCACATCCAATGTCAGTATCTTAACATTTGCGATTTGCAGCAGCGCGATTTTTAACCTCTTGCCGTCCGCCTGCTGTTTATAAACGGCAGGGCGGTGGCAGTCCAAGGTCGGGTTGCCGTTCCTAAACGGCACCCGCCTTTTCTAGCTGTGCGCGCTCCCTAGGAGCGCGCACCACCGCAATCCGGTGTCCGCTGTGTCCTCCGGACACAGTGAAACACCGATCGTCGGACGAGACCTCTGTACGAGGTCCCGGTCATGTGATCACTGATTGGCGAATCAGTGATCACATGCAAAGTAGTAAGCAAGATGTCACTTGTGACATCATTGCTTACTACGTGTGAAATCTGTGAATGATCACAGAGGTCACATGGTACAAGGCTATTCACAACAGCCTTGTACCATGTGACAAGCTGTGACCAATCACAGCTCACTCAGTATTTCTCAATGACTGCAAGAATGCAGACAGAGAGAAAGAGAAATGATTGCTTTTACATCCTATATGGGTGTAAAAGCAATCAGTGTAAAAAAAGAAAAAAAAAAATCTTCATCACCCCCCACAAGTAGTACAGTGTCACCATGGTGACACTGTACTGCTAGGGTGACAGTATGTAAAAATAAAAAATAAAAATAAAAAATAATATAAAAAAAAATAAATAAAAATGTAAAAAAAAATGTTTAAAAATTATGTTTGGTTATAAACTAATTTGGATTTTTTTTTTTACTAAAAAAATAAACGGAATAAATTTTGGCCAATATTTAGGATGAAATATTATTTATTTGCAAAATTTTATTAAAAAAAAAACACTTTTTTTCAAAATTTTTGGACTTTTTCATTTACATAGTAAAAAAAATAAAAATCCCAGCGGTGAATAAATACCACCAAAATAAAGCTTTATCTGTCTCAAAAAAATGGTAAAAAATTCATATGGGTACAGTATTGCATGACCGCGCAATTGTCATTCAAAGTGTGATAGCGCTGAAAACTGAAAATTGCCCTGGACAGGAAGGGGGTAAAAGTGTCCGGACAGGAAGTGGTTAAAGTAGATCTTGCATGACTTTTTCTGCAGTTTTGGTAAAGTTAGGAGTATGCATCAGTCCTGAACGCGAAACACGTTAAATTCCTTTGTTCCTGACACTGTCTATGATATTTTTTATGAAGGCATCAATAAAGTGGAAGTGGTGCAGCGGATTTCACACTTTTTCGCTTTTCCTGTGTTGTTGCTGGAAAAGCTGTGGTCAGACTCTAATCCCCTGGAGCAGCTTTGATTGAGGTTTTCTGCAGTTACATAGTTAGTCTGGCTGAAAAAAGACAAAAGTCCATCCAGTTCAACCATTAACAAAAAAAAAGTTATAATCCTATATCCACAGTTGATCCAGAAGAAGGTAAAAAAAACCCCAGCAAAGCACGATCCACTTTGCTCCTGCAGGAGAAAAAATTCCTTCCTGATCCCCCGAGAGGCAATCGGATATTCCCCCCTCAACTTTCCCTATAAATGTTATATCCAGTTATATTCTGTGTATCCAAGAAAGAATCCAGGACTTTCCTACAGCAATCCACTGAGCTGGTCACAACCAACTCTGGAGGGAGTCTATT